TTCACAAACCGATGGTGATGTTAAAGATGTAATGGTCTGTTCACACGATCCAATTTTGTTGGATCCAATTCACTTCTGATGGATGTTTTATAGCCTGTTGTCTTGTAATGTATATGAGCAGCAAATCCACTGAAGCCAATGAAGTACTGCTTTATCGATAACCGACTATATTTCATACGTCACATGTGAATTGGATCCAACAAAATTGGATCGTGTGAACAGACCTTAACCGCAAGTCCATGACCAGGTCTTCCATAATATTTTCGTATATTAACTTTTGAAAGCAACATATAATTTGTGCAATTCATGAGAAACCATTTCCCCACACGGGAATTCCTTTGACTGTGGAAACTTTTCCTTGAACAATTTTCAATAGTGGCGGACACTTACATTAGCGCTACAACAACGTACGATAAACGTGTCCGATAAGCTCTATATATGTTTACTGTATAGCGGAGTGAACAAGGTGCTTAGGCAATCAAACTTTAACTATTACATTGTTAGAGGTGATTTCAATAGTTTTGTATAAAAATTATCCCTGTATATTATCGTTGATCGGAATTTGATCTAAAACATTTCTATTGTAATTATCTTATTATGCATGTGTGCCATCAGCTTGACTGAAATGTTTGGCTCTGGCGATAATTTTTTTGAAAAATAAACGTTGTTGGGACCTACAAGTTGTTTGGCATAAGCATTTTTATGCATGATGCCAGTAAAAATTTTTTTGTAACCACATATGATTTTATGAGCAATATTTGCCAATATGGATAACAAAATTTAAATTTACAACTCAAGAACAATGACCTTCATTGAACATAGCCCTTTTCTCTCGCAATTTTTTTGTATTTAGCATTTTTTGGGACACCATGTTTTCCTCCTTGCTAGACTTTATCTTAGGCTAGGCAATAGTTATATCTAAGAAAACCTTGTTTATGTCAACGATAAATACTGCTCTACCATAATAATTTATATGTCTAAAACGCAGCACTGTCTCTAGTGTTATCTTAATGCATATCTACATTATAGCAGGTCTTATGAAACTTGGTCACTTCAAAATACAACCATACGTCTTACGCAAAGTACTAACCTTGTTGGTTGTAAAAGTCCAAATTCCATACGCGTTTAAAACAGATCGATTCAGCAGCTTTTTTGCGGTCATTGGAAGCTATTTCAACATACAATCATTCCGTGGCCGTCAACCTAGAGCGATATAAATTACAATTTGCAACTCGTAAGCGCTATTGCTCAAACTACTGTCCACGAAACTTCCAATAAACACAAATGTACCGGTGTTTCTTAAAATCGGGCCTTTGATTAATCTTCTCAGCTTTACAGTAGCTACGTGAATAATATTTTGAAAGTCTGAAATACACGATATTTTGACGCCTCGCTTCTCCCAGTTATACATGTGGTCCCTAGCGCCGTCAGCAAAGCGCCAGAGCAGGCCTGGGCTCTAAATAGTCGCCATTGTCGTAAACATCTCATTGATTTCAAGGTGGCCGATGTGATGGAATATTGCTACTTATTTGCATTTGACGATGACCGATTTAAAAAAAGAAACTAAGGTTTCTCCGGATTATATCACGCAATAAAAATGACATCACTGACATGTTCATGCAGGACAATTATGAAAATATATAAACTAGGCTGAGGCCTGACTCATACTTGTCTAAGAATCTTCTGACAGACAAATAATTTTAGATATCAACAATGTCAATGACAAACAATTAAATTCCCGATTCTTAGGATTTGAGTGAATCAGGCCTCATACAATGTAGGAGCCGCGTCAGCATAATTTGTAGCACTATAATTTAACTATAATTTTTATGCTTCCCAAGAAGAACGGCATAACAACAAACCTGTACATGTAAATAGGGTACCTTTTGTTCGAGCCTACTGTATGAAATTATATAACGAAAACATCAAAACAAATTATAGCGCATTTGGGTGCCTCAAAGTAATATATGCTTGCTGACATGGCATTTGTATATATCTTCATGTTACAATATTACTTTGCGAGCTGTTGCGAATAGTGAGGGAATAAAACACCATTTTTGTGTGTCAGGTGTTGAACCAGGTGTTGAAAAGTGCACATATTTTTCCCTTTATATAATTTAATCGATATGATGATAATTTTGTTTCATCCGTAAGACGATAGACCTTAAGGCATAATGACGTATCAAGACCACTGCATAATGGATAATGACCACTGCAGGGAATTCTGGATTTAGTAGTCACTAGTAGGGAAAAATTTTCCTTCAAAATTTCCAAATTTTACTTCGAAAACTTCAAAATTTCCCGCCGTGATTATACTAAGACCAGAATTCCCTGCAGGTTTCACGGCTTCTTACGTCATTATATGCATGCACATTGGAAATGCAAAATATTACTAAGAAGCACAATTATTCTTGCAACTTCCTTATTCAGCGACGTCGTAATTGTCACTAGAAAGTGTATCAGACCCGGATTAGTTCAAATTTTTATTCCCATTTTATTGCTTAAGGTAAGACAACTTTCTTTATGCATTCGCTGATTCTGGTAAATGCGTAAAAGCGGTTTTCAGCTCGCGACAATTACGCATATACTCCAATGTGTCGCGGCAGGTGTTGTAGACATAGAGCAGTTATTTTCACGCTGGATTTTCTAACATACGACAAGATGCTAAAATTCCTTAGTCCTGTTAAATATAAAGACTGATTACTTCGCTATGGCAGCGTTAATTCACACGGTACCAGATTCGTTTGTCACGACAGCTTCGTTTGCCCTTAGGAAGCGACGATTATTACCAAGTGATTATTAATTTATTTTATTTGGCAGCCATATTTATTCAGATCTCGGACTTTAAAAATATCCACTGTCTTCTTTTAACTTCAAAATTTAACCTGTTCTAGTCGCATTCAAATTAACAGTGATAAACTTTCAGAATATTAAATGTATACGCAGAATTGTCGTTACGTTTTGCACGAATAGTTGTGAATTATATAGTTTAAATTATCTGTCAACGGTTGCTTAGGCGCCAAGGCTAAAGCCTAAACTCTTAAATATTAGACTCTGTAGTATGGCTGAGAAACTTTGGTAGAATTTCGGGTTTTAAAACAGGTAAATATGGTCAATTTTCATTCAAATCGTAGCTACTTTATATGGTCGTTCTGCATGATAATTCTGTAAGGATGCATGTTAATTGTTGGGTGGTGAGTAATTTGAACTTTGCTTCATTGGTGATTAAGAGCGCACAGTTTCAAAATCTTTGCCTAGAAATAAATATCTTTTCAAAGGATTTTCATAAAATACAGTACCAATTGTGTTGTGTATTCTCTTACAAAAATACAGCAAGACTTCCACATATAAAGACAAGTTTTAATCTCTATGTATCCCCCGAACTCTATACAAAGCTGCTATATTTATATCCTCGACATGATGTTAATTACTATGCTAAAATATGCAATTATACATTTATACTTCCACTGCATGCTCCTTCTATACATATTCAAATATTTATACAACACAGGCAGTAACCATTAAATCCCAACATTTTTATCGTTTGTTTTTTTATAAAAAAACTTTTAAAAGCTCTTTTTGTCCAAATTAACCAATACTCTAAATAACTGACTAACGCCAACAACGTTAAAGTTTATTAGTCTTTTAGTTCAAGACAAAATCTTTAAACTTAGGGTTAGGTTTTCGTACACGTTCCGGATCTTCTTAAGGTTGTGGAAGAGGTCTACACGCGGGTCTGGATTGTTTGACGGTTTATGGGTATTATTGAGTGCCTTCGTTGGTGACTAGGGCTGCTCGTCACGTGGCGGTGAAATCTCGATATATTCTGGCTCAACACGCTGAGGCGAGGTTAGGACCTTTCTTGACGGTATAACCTGACGAGGAATGATATCATAATCTGCAGAATGGGTAGGGCTGTTTGACCTCGAGATCACGAGCTCACAAGATTTCCGAATGTGGAGCCGATCTCTTCTATACTGTCTTCCGTTAGCTTCAACTATAAATATAAGATCTTTCATTGTGTTTACCCACGACAGTTCCGCTAGACCAAGGACGTGAACTAGGTTTGACTTTAGTTCTAATGTTTTCTCCTACAACCAAGGGAGGTAAGGGTTTGGAAACTTTTTCATAGCATCGTTTATTTTGTTGTTTCTTCTTCACCGTCGCTTTTACAATTGTTTTGGTGGATATTATGACAGTTTCCAATAACTCAGGCTTAATAGGAAGAGTAGTTTTGGTTCTTCTAGACATCAGTTTCTCATTTGGTGACGCCAGTTCATCAGGGGTGTTTCGCATCTCCAAGACCGTTAGCCAAGGATCGTTACTCATCTTTAGTATCCTCTTCGCTTGTTTCGCTGCTGCCTCTACAACCCCAATCCCTTTTGGATAATATGGCGAAGAGGTATGATGCTGGAAATGTCACTCTTCAGAGAACCTCTTATTTCACTACTTGTATACCTGGCTCCATTGTCTGATATAACAAACTCTGGCACTTCATGTCTCGAGAAAATCTTCTTAGGTTTTTGGGCACTTGTTTCCTGTTCTTCGAGATCCCAGTACTTCGTTAAATTATGAACGACGACAACATATGTGTCGTTCTTGACCGAAAACAAATCTGTGCTAACATATACTGCCATCGACGTTTTGGAATGGGTTGGCTCTGCATCGGTTGTTTGGTTTGATCTGGTTTATGCTCTTGACAGATTTCACAATTATCACACAGATACTTGATATCGTTGGTAAACGTTAATGTTGACAATGTTGAAGTGGCGCGGCACATTTGCGAAACCGCGAGAACGCTGGGACAAGGTTTTGGGCAAGGACTAGGACAAGGGCTGGGAATTGGACTGGGTTTGGGTATAGGTCTAGGTGCCCTGTATGTTGGTAAAAAATATAACATTGCCTCTAATATGTAAGATCTTTGATTGCTTATAAGTATCTTATTTTACTTTGTTATAGATTAGTGATATTTTCAGATTCACTATACGTATACTTCCTGAATGGCAGAAGCATTTTCCGTAACTGGAGAAGCTTTCCGAGCTACTGCATCGGTCACTGGAAGAAAAATTGTGATCACCATTGGCACTGACAATGTAGAAGTGGCAAAAGAAGTGTGCAAAACAGTCACTAAACTAGGCCTAGGTCTAGGCGCTCTGTATGCTGGTTATAGTTTGTTAAAACCATTAATAGATGCTGCAGTTACAAAAGCTCTGGGTGGTAAACGCGATGATCAGGACGCTCGTGACATTCGACCAGGATGTTTGCATGTTGAGTTACATTGTTTCACAGACGAAAGGTTTCTGGAAGTCTTGGCGGATTACGAATCAGGAAGGATGAAGGAACGCTTGCAGGAAGAATTTTCTCTGGTTGGAATTAAAGTGGAAGGACTGAAGGTGAAGATTGACAACATGGAGGAGGTGAAAGTAACAAAGAAAGCGATTGAAAAGAGGTATTAAAAGTCTTTAAGCCTTTTCAGACAGGACATATTTCAAGATAAACACTCAAACGTTGATCAGTAAAATGATTTTGATCAACACTTCTTCAGATACAACTTGTCTTTTCATAAAGATACAACTTGTCTTTTCATTCAACGTCCCCATTTGCGTATATCGATCGACCACTTCACGTAGAGGATTAAAGTCTCTTTAAGGCGACACGATGCTTTGACTTTTCATACTGTATTACAATCCTGATAAGCCCATAGTTTTATTTTCGGGTATTAGAAAGCAAAAAAAATCAAAAACCAAACGCTATAATCGAAAAATTTTTTATCTCATTTTATTTTTGTCCAACAGATGCATTGATGAAAAGGGTTTTTCGTTCAGAAAGGAAAATGTTGAAATATGTGCTACTGAGAGTGGTCTATGGGCGGGGGAGTATGCCGAGGTAATTCAATGTAGCGAAACGAATTTCCGCGCGGGTTTTGCAGAGTCGGATATAATCGATTAGCTGAAAAAACGCGTGAAGTTCGGGCAATCAAAACATTTCTTCCAAGGCCTGACAACAATGGATTTTATGAGGATAACAATTGCATTTTCGACAAATCTAAGAAAGTTTATCGTAGGAGTAACAGCAGCGAACAAAAAAAGCAAATTTAAGTGTATTAGCTGAAGAAGACCTTGAGGAAGCGCTCCGTCAATGCTCATTTCCAGAAAGATCACCTCACCTGAGGGATCTTATGCAAACAAAAGGCAATTCGATCTTTTAGCATGGAAGATATTTACAACCTTTTGATAAAAGACGCAAACCTGTTAAAAAAAGCAGAGCATTTTATGATTCTAGAATTGATTTTAAACTGATCATGTCGAAGAGTTAAAGTCAGTAAGGTCTAAAAGCACTTAAATGTTTCATGAATCCATTGTTATAACGGTTGTAAAATATATCCTTGATTGCGTGAACTTTAACTGAAATATACTTTGAAATCTATCCACGCAAAACCGACATTATATATCAAAGCAAATCTATTCTGCTTACGAGCTAGAACTTCTTTACTTATTCATAGAGAAGTAAGATTAGCCCGGGAATATCGAACAATCTGTCACAGGAATCGTATAATTATATTGATACCATACATTTTCCCTTTTAAAATGTTATTCAATTCAATATATTTAAGCGCCGAAAATATCCTGCAAAAACTGCATACGATTCGTCCGGTATTGGAATCTTGCCACCACAGATAAAAGACTACAAATCGGCATTGGATCTGATAGGAACACGACTGTATGGAAAACCAAGTGATCAGAATCTTTCCGGTTTTGAAAGCACGCATCCTGACGTAAGCGATTTCGGTCAGGCATTAGAGTCGACAGAAAAAGACTTTCAAGTGAAACTAAAGCTTATTGGAGACGATCCTGCAGCAACAGCTGACAGTTATCACAACATTGGAATCTCGCGACACGAGATGAAAGATTACAAGTCAGCGTTGTGGTTACAACGAAAAGCGCTTGAAATCAGATTGAAGTTGTATGGAGAAGATCATCCTTACATGGCTCAAAGTTTTCGAGAAATTGGCAACACACAATATGAGATGAAAGATTACAAATCAGCATTAGAATCGCATCAACGGGCTTATGAAATCAATTTAAACCTGCATAGAGAATATCATCCCGAGACTGCTGAAAGCTGCGACACCATTGGAATTCTACAACATGAATTGAAGAATTACAAATTAGCCTTAGAGTGGAAGCAAAAAGCTCTCAATATTAGATTAAAACTATACGGAGAAGATCATTCACACGTAGCTAAGAGTTATAATAACATCGGAATCACACAACACGCGCTGAAGGATTACAAGTCAGCACTTAGTTCACATCAAAATGCACTTCAAATCAGATTTAAGCTACATGGGGAAGATCATCCTGATACCGCTCAAAGTTATCACGGCATCGGAATCATACAACAAGAGTTGAGAGATTTCAAGTCAGCAATAGAGTCGCAACAAAAGGCACTTCAAATCAGATTAAAGGAGCAGTGTCATCGTGTGCGCATATTTTCTGCGCATAACAAAAAACGAATCGGAAAGTCTCGGATATTGTTCGGTGCGTTAAATAATATTGAACAGTGGCGTCCCCTGAGGCAAGCTCGACGGTACAAAACTATGCATATTTTCTTGTCTACTCAACATAAATACCAAATGCATATCATGTTTCTTAAATTAGCGCAGGTTGAATATTGTAAGTGCAAGAGCTCTTGTAGCGTGAAGCGAAAACCGAATACGAATCGAGGATGCCCTTGCAAAGGTTCAAATATGGATTGCTCTGTAGCGTGCAAATGCGGCACTCGTGCTAAACCTTGCAAGAATAAGGTAAGCTTGAAATAAATTATTTTTCTGTTTTACAATTTCTTCACATTTCTAATATATGGCGTTGTTTCAGAAAGCGGCAGCAAACTATGAAGGTGAAAGTCGGGGGAAACCAACGAACAGTAAAGTTAGACGTATGAATCAGCAAGGGTTTCGCCTCACTCACGAGCCAAGAGAGACAGAGGAAATACAAAGAGAAAAAGAAAATAAGGATGTAAAGGTAGACAGTTTCTTTAATAACTTATTTTTATTCAATTACTGATATATACTGATTGCGTTGGTCAAGATTAATATAGTTTTGGTAATATATGTAAACAATGTCCAATCAATTTTTCAAACTAGTTCTTAAAACTAACTACACCGAGGGTTAGGATAAAGGCTTTAATTTGCCCTAGGACTTTGTAGCCACACTGGATGAAGATATGGTTCGAAAATTGGCTATTCGCAGTCTTAGACGAGGCATCGGAAGCATGGATATATTCATACATTGCTTATTATGGATGATGATCTTGTGGAAGAGGATGAAGACATGGGTGAATTTGGAGCACAGTCTGAAGAGGAAACTGAGCAACCAAATACTCCTGATCTGCCTCAAAACCAACCCTCTGCACAAGGGCCAGATTGGTGCAAATGTGGATATTGTCAACCCATGCCACAAGAAATCGAAAATCGATGTTGTAAACTAAAGAGCTGCATATCGTTGACATCAAGGTTTGAAAAATTGTGTCTTGATCCTGATGTCTTACAGCTGTGCATACGGAATTCCAGCGACATAAGGAATGATCGAGAGGATAATAGTACACGAGCCTTTAGAAAAGCGGCATATAGACAATTTATTCTGGCACGGTATGGGCATCTAGGAAAAGGGAACAGGAGGGTTTGTCCATCTTGCGTAGTATTGAAAATACGAAAACAGTACCCATCCATTACAGGAGTGTATATGGGTTATAGAGAACATTGATTAAGACATTGCATGCATGAACAAGCTTTTATGTTTACTATTATATACAATTTATTTATAGCAACAGTTAATGATACTTATTTCTTCTGTTCAAATCTACTTCTTTTAGGAATTTCTTTTGTGGGAGGTGGAACTATGTGTGCAATTGTTTGGGCAATAAGGCCAGGGTCACTTTCATTCAGAGGCACACTTCGTGTGACACTGTCATTATCATCTTCTCTGCTTCTGAAAACCTTTGCAATTAGTAATGGGATGTAGTCATAGCCCTTTTCCACTTTCACAACCTTTACATCCCATTTTCTTGTTCTAGGGTTGTATTTCCGTGTGACCATCACATCTCCAGTACTCTTGTTCTTAGCTTGTGGGAGATTAATGTGAAAGTTCCAATCTATAGCTGTCAATTGCTTTCTTGCCTTGAATGCTCTGTAACTAGATGCCATCATACATATATTATTTTAGAACTGTCCTAAGATAGACAAGACATGATTAATGCTTGAACATGTAGTAGAGGCAAACCTGAATGGCATTCTTTTTGGAGTATATACTAAGCTCAGACTGTTTGCACATTCTATGGAGCCTGTATGCCTGTAAAAGTAAAAAAACGGTTTGAAATTTCGCGAGGAGGGGTGGGAGAGGACAGGGGACATTAGTTGGTTAATCATTTGTCTCAAAATAAATGGTGAATATTTATTGTCATCTGGTGGTGATTGATCTAATGATACAATATAATTACCGGAATTGTGTGTAGTACTTGAAGCTTGCAAGCAGGTCAGGATTTAAAATGACTTTTTGAAGTTCAATAAAGTCTGCATCTCTGTTATCAAACCATGGCAAGCTTGTGTCGTGTTCACCATCTTCATGGTCACAAGATCCACCTATCCAATCATGCTCATTGCAGACATGGTGTAGTAATGCAATCCACTTATCCTGAAAATATAGAATGTAATTTTATGATACAAGAATATAATTCTGATTAATATAAGATATTTCTTGGCAAGAAATAATTTCTTATAAGAATTAGGAAAATAATCTTACAGTAATAAGAAAACTATGCTAGAGTAGACTTCGATTTTTTGCAGTGAATACATACTGTACCTGCTTGTCTCTGAATCATCACTTTCTAGATCCCTGTCAGCATTCAAATATTGCAGGGCTGAATAGGAAATGTCATGTTGTCTGCAAAATATTTAATAATACCATTTTTAGAGAGAAATTATTTTTTGACCCTGCTTGATCTAAAAGCAAATGAATTATATATTTTAAGATCTGAAACAATTCTCGTGCATTTTGGTGAAATGAAGAGACAAATTTAGACGAAGGAAATAAATTATATACCTGTTATTTTCATCAGAATTTTCTTCCGATGCATCACCCTCATCATCTGTAAACAATGAAGTGTTTCCCCCAACAGATACAAATGACTCATGGATTGGAGAATATCCAATGCTAGATTGCATAAGGCAACAGATAAAAGTGTTATAAATGTTGTATCGGGTATTGTGATATATAAATAGTAACAGTAAGTAAAGTTAATTTTCACTTATTTCAGGCCTTCATTACTATACCATTCATCGTGTGTTGCCATCTCAACCTCTTGAAAACGTTGAGTATTCTCCACTTCATCATTTTCTTGTTCCCTCATGTTTTCCCGCCAGAATGGGAGACTCGCATATTGCGGGAAGTTTATACAATACATCCTTCATTGTCTTCTTTATCGGTGTTGATATTACGTTTTGGCCTAAATATATACAACTATACGTTGAAGATTAATCGTCTGTTTGCAGTATAAAAACTATGACATCTCAAAACCCTACCTATTGTGTTTATATTTATAATGTTCGAACTTGGTTCAGGGCATTCAGCTGGCTGAATGTATCCCCTTGTTTCATCAGACCTGTATAATAATGATAATCTGCGCATTAATCGAACAGGGCATTTAAAGCTTAATGGCTATTATCCGGGCTATAATGACTATTATACGCGCTATAATGGCTATTATATTTATGCCTACCTTCTTCGATATTCCAGTGAAAGTAGATGTGCTGCAAATTCACTGTCACTACGTAACTCATATCCTGCAATACTTTTGGCATCTTTCCAAGAATTAAATATCGTCAAGGATACAAATATTCTTCTGTGTTCTCTGTCCCAATTTTTCTGTGCATTTCGTCCTTCGTACTTCCTTTTCCGGCCGCAATTATTTCGTTTGCCACCGTGCAAGCCTCTTCGCGAATCCGCCATATTAGACTGGAAAACTTGAAAAACTACGGCAGTAGTTTTTCAAGTTCACGTGCGCAGAAAAGATGCGCACACGATGACACTGCTCCTTTAAAGCTGTATGGAAAAGAGCATTCCGACACTCTGGAGATGTATCGTGAAATCGGTGTTACGCAGCGTTCAATGAAAGACTTCAAAGCAGCATTAGAGTCACATCAATATGTCGTACAAACACAATTGAAACTGCATGGTGAATACCATAATGATACCGCTGTCGCCTATTGCAGCCTGGGAATCACGCAACAAGAGATGAAAGATTACAAGTCTGCATTAGATTCGCATGAGCATGCTTTAAAAATTAGATTAAATCTTTACGGAGAGGATCATCCTGACACCGTGGAGAGTTTTGGCGACATTAGAGCCACACAATGTGAGATGGGAGACAACGAATCTGCATTAGAGTCGCACAACAAAGCTCTTCAAATCAGATTGAAATTGTTTGGAGAAGATCATCCCGACACAGCTGATAGTTATTTCCAAATTGGAAATGTACAAAAGGAAATAAACGATTACAAGTCAGCATTAGGATCTAAGCAAAAAGCTGTACAAATCCTAGATATTGGAGAAGATCATCCTGAGGTAGTTGAATATCATCTTGATATTTCTCAAGCACAAGATCTTTTGAACGATAGAAAGAGCCCTGAACTGGAACAAAAAACGTTGCCAAAATGGGACAAAATCTTGTGGAGAAAATAATCGGAACATTTAACAAAAAGTAAAGTGGACTTTTAGCCTCGTTTACACTACACATCGCCACAGCACAGCGATATTGGGTACCCGTAACAATTTCATCCGTGTTCAGCCTTTGTATGGGTTATCCGCTTTAATCGTAATTTAAATAATGTAGTTGCACATATTTGATCAATTTTATGGAGAATTCTGTAATCGCAAGGAAAATCCCGAAAAAGAGAGACCACTTAATAGCATTCAGTCTTGTTTGTCTTAGGCTTGTTTAGACTGAGTGCTCGAAACTGGAGCGCAATGTCAAAACTGGTTCGTAAAACATGCTGAGCCAGGTGCCTTTGTTACGTGATACCTCTGGAACTATAGTGTCTGTTCTTGGGCATGGTGCCCTTTTCCACTTTGAAGCCTCATTATAGGGGAAATGGCACTCGGTCTTTTGCACTTTAATTCTAGTTTCGCGCATCATTATTTGATAAAATAATTACAATTAATTACTATTATACGTACTAATACTAATTACTGTTTTGAAAACAACGTATAATTTATGCAATCCTCGATGAACCCTTCTCCCATACTGGAACTTTTTTCAAAGGAAACTCTTGACAATGGAAACTCTGCCATGTACAATTTTGAACAAACATTTTGTTCTGGTGAAAACGCGATAAATGATTTTGACAGCTAATCAAATCAGGTTAAAGAAGACTATATAGTATTCGGACATTACTGGACTTTTTCAAGTTTCTAGTTCTTTTGAAACATTCTGAATAGACGAATGTATAGATCATTGGCAGCAACTGGTATCATTTATTTTTCACAAAAAATTGTTGCCAGAGCCAAACATTTCAGTCAAGCTGATGGCATGCAGGCATAATAAGATAATTTCAATGAAAATTTTTCAGATAAAATTCCGATCAACGATGATATATGGAACATAAACAGAGTGTCTAAAAAAACTAAAAACTATTGAAATCATCCGCATAATAATGTACTGAGTTAGAGTTTGAATGCCTAAGCACTTTTTGGGAGCCACAAGTGTATTAATATTTGGCATAAGCCTTTTTATGCTGACAGTAAAATTTGTTTGTACCCATAAATGATTTTATTAACAATATTATTTTACACATTACGAATATGGATAACAATATTTAAATTTACAATGACCATGTCATTTACAATGACCTTCAACATGTCCCTCTTCTCTGGCAATCCATTGTGTTTAGTATTTCATTTTTAAAATCTTATAAATTTAGCATTTAATAAGTTAATCGTCACGGGCAAAATTCGCGAACAAGTCATTCAAATGTTCATATAACAAGAGGTGATTTCAATATAGTTTGGGGTTTTTTGTGGGACCCTGTATTTCGTCCTTGCCAGTTTTTATCTTAGGCTAGGCAATAGTTACATCTAAGAAAACCTTGTTTACATCAACGATAAAATACTGCTCTAACTTAATATTTGTCTAAATGCAGCACTGTGGGCGCGGAGCGGGTGCGAGGTTACTAATTCCGGTCGGACATTAGGAACCCGGGTGAACATAGCTGAATTCAAAGTTGTCCAAATTCTATGTCATGGACGGTCGACGTTGGACCGTTTTGTCAGCTATGCGCATGCGCGACTAACGACTGGTAATCAACAACGTTCGTTCTGATTGGCTAAGATTCAATGAGAATGTTACGTAGCAATTTAACTGTCATTTCGTATAAACTCTTTTGTAATTAAAAGGCGTTTCATGAGCTTTGCGCAAAATAAAACGAGAAGAAAAAAGATAAAGAATGACAAAAAAAGGGTACGTGTTTACTTTTTTATTACTCGTTTACTTTTTATTTTTTTTGGGTGCCTCAAAGGAATGTATGCTTGCTGACATGACATTTGTATAGATTTTTTATATAAGACAATGAAAGTGCATGCATCATTGCATGTTATTGAGAAGCAACAATTATTCTCGCAACTTCCAAGTACAGCGACGTCGTAATTGTGACAAGAAAGTGTATCAGGCACGGATTTGTTCAAAAATGTTTTTATGCCCATTTTATTGCTTAAGGTAAGACAATTTCCTTTATGCATTTGCTGATTCTGGTAAATGCGTAAAAAGCGGTTTTCAGCTAGCCGCTGAAATTACTTTACTATGGCTGCGTTAATTCACACGGTACCAGATTCGTTTGTCACGATAGTTTCGTTTGCCGTTACAAAGCGACGATTATTACCAATTGCTTATTACTTTATTTGATTTGATAGCTATTTATTCAGGTCCCGGACTTTAAAAATCTCCAGTGTCTTTAACTTAAAAATTTAACCTTGTTCTTTATGGTCGCAATCCAGTATCGCTTGTGAACTGCTCCTATATTATACATAAACTAAAGATTCAAATTAACAGTGATAAACTTTCAGACCTTCAGTAGATTGCATACACGCAATAACATGCAAAATTGACGTTACGTTTTGCATGAATAGTTGTGAGTGTATATAGTTTAATAATCTGTTAACGCTGTCGGTTAAACTCTTAAATATTTGACCTCCTATATAGTATATAGCTTAGAAACTTTGGTAAGCGCTAGAGCAGGCATGGGCTCTATTTAGTCGCCATTCTCATTAACTGTCAATGTGTAATGCAATGGAATATTGCTACTTCGGTGCATTTAACAATGACCGATTTAAATGTAAAAAAATAGAAACTAAGGTTTCTCCGGATTATTTCGCGCAATAAAAATGACATGCTCATGCAGGACAATTATGAAAATAGGCCTGATTTATACTTGTCCTTAGAATCGGATACATTTTCTAATAATATCTTTTGACGAACAAAGCCTTTTAGATATCAATGACGACAAACAACTAGATCCCCGATTCACAAGAATTTTAGCTGTGAATCAGGCCTCAATGCAGGAGCCGTTAACATATAATTTGTAGCACTATAATTTAGCTTGAATTTTTAAGCTCTCCTAGAGAGAGAACCGCATAACGACCAACTGGTACATGTAAATAGGTTACCCTCTTGTACGACGCTGCGGTAGGAAATGATATAATTATAATAAAGATAACATCAAAACAATTTATAGCCGGCGCATTTGGGTGCCTCAAAGGAATGTATGCCTGCTGAAATGATCATGACATTTGTATATCTATAAGACAGTGCATGACAGTGCATGCATGCATAATTGCATATTACTGAGAAGCACAATTACTCTCGAAACTTCCAAGTACAGCGACGTCATAATTGCGACTAGAAAGTGTATCAAGCACGGATTTGTTCAAAGTTTTTATCCCCATTTTATTCCATAAGGTATAAAGGTAAGGCAACTTTCTTTATTCATTCGCTGATTCTGGTAATTCGCTGATTCACGACAGCTTCCTTTGCCCTTACGAAGCGACGATTATTACCAAGTGCTTATTAATTTATTTGATTTGTTAGCTATATTTATTAAGGTCCAGGTATTTGAAATCTCCACTGCCTTTTTTAACTTCAAAATTTAACCTGTTCTAGTCGCAATCTGGTACCGTATGTGAACGGGTCCTGTATTATACATAAACTAAAGATTCAAATTAACAGTGATAAACTTTCAGACTATTAGATTGTATACACACAACAATATGCAGAATTGACGTTACGTTTTGCACGAATAGTTGTGAATTATATAGTTTAATGATCTGTCAACGGTTGCTTACATGCAAAGGCTAAACTCATAAATATTAGACCCTATAGTATGACTTAGAAACGGGAAAATTTCGGGTTTTAAAACAGGTAAATATGGGCGGGCCATTTTTATTCAAATCGTAGTGACTTTAATTCGTTCTGCATGATAACTCTTTATGTATGCATGTAGTTATTGATATTGGTAGTGAGTGAATTTGAACTTTGCTGCATTGGTGATTTTCACAAAGTACAGTATACATTACAAACCTGTCATTTTGTAAATTTTAATTGATTTTTCCGAATATTATTTTATGAGACTAAACGCTGAAAACATCACAGCGATTAGTAATGAAAAAAGTCCTTTTACAGTACTAGCCAGAAGCGAGAAAGTGAAAATGCACCTCGAATTAAGCAGTTTAGCTGCGGCCATGACCTCGTCAAGTGATTGATAGTATTTTTTTGTAGGATAACGATTTCTTAGTGATTCGCATTCCCTAAATGGCAGAAGCATTATCCGGAGGTGGGAAGGCTCTACGAGCTTGTGCCTCAGTCCTCGGTGGAATGTTTTCCTTCGCTGTTTCCACTGACAATGTAGACGTTGCAAGAGCGCTAGGACAAGGTCTAGCACAAGGACTGGGAGTAGGTCTGGGTCTAGGACTAGGTCTAGGAGCTGTGTATGTTGGTTATAATTCATTAAAACCAAAAATCGATGGCGCAGTCACAAGAGGTGTTGGTGGCAAACGCGATGATCAGGACGTTCGTGACATTCGACCAGGAAGTTTGCATTTTGAGTTACATTGTTTCACAGACGAAAGGTTTCTGGAAGTCTTGGCGGATTACGAATCAGGAAGAATGAAGGAACGCTTGCAGGAAGAACTTTCGCTGGTTGGAATTAAAGTGGAAGGACTGAAGGTGAAGATTGAAAACATGGAGGAGGTGAATGAAATAAGGGAAGCGATTACGAAAAAGAGGTATATATATCACAGCAAAAAATCATTTTCTCATTTCAAGAAAAAAAACTCATTTTAGGAAAATTTTCTTAAAATGAGTTCAATTTTTTTGGGAGAATAATAAGAAAATTTTCTTACTTTTTTCTTACGAAATTTTTTCTTAAGAAAATGTTCTTAAAATAAGAAAAGTTGCATAAAAATGATTTCTCAGTTTAAGAAAATTTTCTTAAAATTGGCCCAAAATTTCTTAGAGAATGTTCATAATGAGAAAAACTTTCTTAAGAATTGTTTCTTAATATAAGAAATATTTTTAAGAAAGTATTTTTCTTAAGCCCTAATTCCACGGGCTAAATCTTTAAGCGAAATGCGAAATGTTTCGCCTGCTTCTTTTGAATTGTGAGCAACGAAGCAGAATTAATTTATTCAAGTGGTCGAAATTCAAAAGAAACAGGCGAAATATTTAGCATTTCGCCAAGAAAAAGCGCCCGTGGAATTAGGCCCTAACAATAAAAAAAGTTAATTCTCAAGAAACCCAAAAAAATCTGACATGGTATTTTGCTATATGTAAGAATAAAATGTAAATTTACTAAAATATTGATGAGTCATAAAATAGAATACACAGCAGACATTTGTGAACACATGGGAAGTATATGCCCTACATGATTATATAGAAATACAGAAAAATGATTATATATAATATTGGTGAATGTAACAACGGAAGCGATTCAAAAGAGGAATCAAAAGTCTTTAAACCTTTTCAGACAAGACATATTTCAAGATAAACACTCGAACTTTGATCAGTAAAATTATTCTTCGGATACAACTTGTCTTTCAATCAAGTTTTCATGCAACGTTCCCACTTGGGAATATCGATCGACTACTTCACGTAGAGGTTTAAAGTCTCCTAAAGACGACACGATGTTTTCACTTTTCATACTGTATTACAATCCTGATAAGCCTATAGTTTTATTTTCGGGTATTAGAAAGAAAAAAAAATAAAAACCAAACGCTATAATCGAAATATTTTTTATCTCATTTTATTTTTGTCAAACAGATGCATTGATGAAAACTCATTCAGAAAGGAAAATGTTGAAATATGTGCTACCGAAAGTGGTCCATGGGCGGAGGAGTATGCCGAGGTAATTCAATGTAGCGAAAGGAATTTCCGCGCGGGTTTTGCAAGGAGTCAGATATAATCGATTTGCTAAAAAAACGCGTGAAGTTTGGGCAATCAAAACATTTCTTCCACAGGCCTGAAAACACTGTGTTTTATGAGCATAACAATTGCATTTTCGACAAAACGAATTTCGACAATCAAAGAAAGTTTATGTTAGGGATAACAGCAGCGAACAAAAAAAGCAAATTTAAGTGTATTGAGACCTTGAGGAAGCCTTCAGTCAATGCTCATTTCCAGAAAGATCATCTCACCTGAGGGATCTTTTGCGAACTAAAGGTAATTCGATCTTTCAGCATTGAAGATATTTACAACTTTTTGATAAAAGACGCAAACCTGTTAAAAAGGCAGTCAGAGCATTTTTATGTATACTAACTCTCCTGACGAAGGCCATCAGGTCGAAACGTCGAGAAGTGTTTCACGCTGCTCCCTGGTTATATTAGAGCGTCTTATGATTCTAGAATTGATTTTAAACTGATCATGTCGAAGAGTTAAAAGTCAGTAAGGTCTCATGTTTCATGAATCAATTGTTATCACGCTTGTAAAATATTGCCTTGATGGCCTGAACTTTATCTGAGATATACTTTGAAAAGTATCCACGCAATCTGTCACAGGCATCGTATAATTATAGTGATTCCATACATTTTCTCCTGTTAAAATGTTATTCAATTCAATATATTTTAAGTGTCGGAAATATTCTGCTAAAACTGGAGAAGATACTGCAGCGACAGCCAATAGTTATTACAAATCTGGAATCTCGCGACACGAGATGAAAGATTACAAGTCAGCGTTGCGGTTACAACGAAAAGCGCTTGAAATCAGATTGAAGTTGTATGGAGAAGATCATCCCGACACGGCTGGAAGTTTTCGAGAAATTGGCAACACACAATATGAGATGAAAGATTACAAATCAGCATTAGAATCGCATCAACGGGCTTATCACATCAATTTAAACCTGCATGGAGAGAATCATCCCGAGACTGCTGAAAGCTGCGACACCATTGGAATTCTACAACATGAACTGAAGAATTACAAATTAGCTTTAGAGTGGAAGCAAAAAGCTCTGAATATTAGATTAAAACTATACGGAGAAGATCATTCACGCGTAGCTAAGAGTTATAATAACATCGGAATCACACAACATGCGCTGAAGGATTACAAGTCAGCACTTAGTTCACATCAAAATGCACTTCAAATCAGATTAAAGCTACATGGGGAAGATCATCCTGATACCGCTCAAAGTTATCACGGCATCGGAATCATACAACAAGAGTTGAAAGATTTCAAGTCAGCAATAGAGTCGGAACAGAAGGCACTTCAAATCAGAATGAAGCTGTATGGAAAAGAGCATTCCGACACTCTGGAGATGTATCGTGAAATCGGTGTCACGCAACGTTCAATGAGAAACTTCAAAGCAGCATTAGAGTCACATCAATATGTCGTGCAAACACAATTGAAACTGCATGGTGAATACCATAATGATACCGCTGTCGCCTATTGCAGCCTGGGAATCACGCAACAAGAGATGAAAGATTACAAGTCTGCATTAGACTCGCATGAGCATGCTTTAAAAATTAGATTAAATCTTTACGGAGAGGATCATCCTGACACCGCCGAGAGTTTTGGTGACATTGGAGCCACACATTGTGAGATGGGAGACAACGAATCTGCATTAGAGTCGCACAACAAAGCTCTTCAAATCAGATTGAAATTGTTTGGAGAAGATCATCCCGACACAGCTGATAGTTATTTCCAAATTGGGAATGTACAAAAGGAAATAAAATATTACAAGTCAGCATTAGGATCTAAGCAAAAAGCTGTACAAATCCTAGTAAAATTATTTGGAGAAGATCATCCTGAGGTAGCTGAATATCATCTTGATATTTCTCGTGTGCAAGATCTTTTGAACGATAAAAAGAGCCCTGAAGTGGAACAAAAAACGTTGCCAAAATGGGACGAATACTTGTAGAGAAGATAATCAGAACATTTAGCAAAAAGTAAAGTGGACTTTTTAGCCTCGTTTACACTACACATCGCCACAGCACAGCGATATTGGGTACCCGTAACAATTTCATCCGTGTTCAGCCTTTGTATTGGTATTCCGCTTTACTTATTGTAATTTATATAATGTAGTTGCACATATTTGATCAATTTTATGCAGAATTCCGAAATCGCAAGAAAAATCCCGAAAAAAGAGAGACTATGTACTTAGTAGCATTCAGTCTTGTTTGTCTGAGGATTGTTCAGACTGAGTGCTCGAAACTGGAGCGCAATGTCACAACTGGTTCGTAAAACATGCTGAGCCCACAGCCTTTGTTGCGTGATACCTGTGGAACTATAGTGTCCGTTCTTGGGCATGGTGCCCTTTTCCACTTTGAAACCTCATCATAGGGGAAATGGCACTCGTTCTTTTGCACTTTAATTCTAGTTTCGCGCATTAATATTTAATAAAATAATTACTATTAATTACTATTACGTACTAATACTAGCTAATTACTGTTTTGAAAACAACGTATAATTTATGCAATCCTCGATGAACCCTTCTCCCATACTTGAACTTTTTTCAAAGGAAACTCTTGACTATGGAAACTCTGCCATGAACAATTTTAAACAAACATTTTGTTCAGGTGAAAACGATAAATGATTTTGACAGCTAATCAAATCAGGTTAAAGAAGACCATATAGTATTCGGACATTGCTGGACTTTCTCAACTTTCTAGTTCTTTTGAATAGCTCTGAATAGACGAATGTATACATCGTTGGCAGCAACTGGTATCATTTATTTTTCACAAAAAATTGTTGCCAGAGCCAAACATTTCAGTCAAGCTGAGGGCATGCATGCATAATACGATAATTTCAATGAAAAATTTTCAGATAAAATTCCGATCAACGATGATATATGGAACATAAACAGAGTGTCTAAAAAAACTAAAAACTATTGAAATCATCCGCATAATAATGTACTGAGTTAGAGTTTGAATGCCTAAGCACTTTTTGGGAGCCACAAGTGTATTAATATTTGGCATAAGCCTTTTTATGCTGACAGTAAAATTTGTTTGTACCCATAAATGATTTTTTTAACATATTATTTTACACTTTACGAATATGGATAACAATATTTAAATTTACAATCACAAGCACCATTACCTTCAACATGTCCTTCTTCTCTGGCCATTCATTGTGTTTAGTATTTCATTTTTAAAATCTTATAAATTTAGCATTTAATAAGTTAATCTTCACGGGCAAAATTCGCGAACAAGTCATTCAAATGTTCATATAACAAAAGGTGATTTCAATATAGTTTGGAGTTTTTTTGGGATACGCTGTATTTCGTCCTTGCCAGTTTTTATCTCAGGCTAGGCAATAGTTATATCTAAGAAAACCTTGTTTACATCAACGATAAATTACTGCTCTACCGTAATATTTGTCTAAATGCAGCACTGTGGGCGCGGAGCGGGTGCGAGGTTACTAATTCCGGTCGGACATTAGGAACCCGGGTGAACATAGCTGAATTCAAAGTTGTCCAAATTCTACATGGACGTCGACGTTGACCGTTGTCAGCTATGCGCATGCGCGACTAACGACTGGTAATCAACAACGTTCGTTCTGATTGGCTAAGATTCAATGAGAATGTTACGTAGCAATTTAACTGCATGTCATTTCGTATAAACTTTTTTGTAATTAAAAGGCGTTTCATGAACTTTTCGCAAAATAAAACGAGAAGAAAAAAGATAAAGAATGACAAAAAAAGGGACGTGTTACCTTTTTATTACTCGTTTACTTTTTATTTTATTTGGGTGCCTCAAAGGAATGTATGCTTGCTGACATGACATTTGTATATTTATAAGACAATGAAAGTGCATGCATCATTGCATGTTATTGAGAAGCAACAATTATTCTCACAACTTCCAAGCACAGCGACGTCGTAATTGTGACTAGAAAGTGTATCAGGCACGGATTTGTTCAAAGTTTTTATCCCCATTTTATTCCATGAGGTATAAAGGTAAGGCAACTTTCTTTATTAATTTGCTGATTCTAGTAAATGCGTAAAAAGCGGTTTTAATCTCGCAACAATTACGCATATACTCCAATATTTCGGAATTGGTTGTAGATTTAGAGCAGTTATTTTCACGCTAGATTTTCTAACATACGACAAGATGCTAAAATTCCTTAGTCCTGTTAAATATAAAGACTGATTACTTCGCTATGGCAGCGTTAATTCACACGGTACCAGATTCGTTTGTCACGACAGCTTCGTTTGCCCTTAGGAAGCGACGATTATTACCAAGTGATTATTAATTTATTTGATTTCGCAGCTATATTTATTCAGATCTCTGAATTTAAAAATATCCACTGTCTTTTTTTAACTTCAAAATTTGACCTGTTCCGGTCGCATTCAAATTAACAATGATATACTTTCAGACTATTAGATTGTATACACACAACAATATGCAGAATTGACGTTACGTTTTGCACGAATAGTTGTGAATTATATAGTTTAATAATCTGTCAACGGTTGCTTACACGTAAAGGCTAAAGCCTAAATTCCTAAATATTAGACCCTATATAGTATGGATTAGAAACTTTGGTAGAATTTCGGGTTTTAAGACAGGTGAATGTATCATTCAAATCGTGTAGTGACTTTATAATTGGTCGTTCTGCATGATAACTCTTTAAGGATACATGTAAATTGTTGGGTAGTGAATGTATTTGAACTTTGGTGCATTGGTGATTAAGAGCGCACAGTTTCAAAATCCTTGCCCGGAAAAAAATATTTTTTCGAAAGATTTTCACAAAATACAGTATGCCATTGCCAAGAACTATTATATATCAATATTATCAACTTACATATATCATTATTACTCCGGCGTGAGCCACGGAGTTGAAAATTTGCCTAGGTTTGGTTTCGTTTGGTTTCGTTTGGTTTCGTTTCCAGCATGCGCCAAATCGGCCGCGCTGCATGATAGTATATATACATGCAAGTGAAAGCCGCCTTTACAATAGCATGTGCTTGTTTGGTGTCATAACTCATAAACACTTATTTCAATAACTCAAAGTCAATCCCACACTTTGATGAATTGCGGCTATGCAGTCTGAGTTCATTGATTGCTGCTGATTGAAGATCTAAGCTTGGTTGTGGGCTGTCATTTTTAAATAAACCACGATTTTCATGAGCTATTGTGAATAAATTATGATTCTCATGATCTGTCACTAAGCAACAAGATCGCGTGAGTAGATTTAGGCCAATGATGCATGAGGATTGTATATTAATATATTATACTTGCAAGTGCAAATTTATCGAGGAATTTTGTGCAACTTTCTCAATAATATTATAATAAAATGTATCGCAAAACTTTTGATATATTCAAAATTCGCCACCATGGTATATAGGCACTTTAAGACTATTTAGAAAAATTCTAACAAAAGCCTTGTGAAGTTTTAGCGAGAGGAAAAAAAATACTCCATAATTTAAAAATTTTCTTAAAAACCCGCAATTTGTCGGTGTTTCTCGTAGCACCTGCAAATTACGATATTTTGCTTTATCTCGTCCAACGAGTGAATAATAAAGCATTCTACTTTTATAGAATAGCGCTTTCTTCGTAATTCTCATAACTGATAACCCCTGAATGGAAAAAGCATTATCCGAAGGTGGGAAGGTTTTACGAGCTGGTGTAACACTCTTTGGTGGGATATTTTCGATCGGTGTTTCCACTGACAATGTGGAAGTAGCTAGAACACTAGGGCAAGGACTGGGAATAGGATTTGGAATAGGACTAGGTCTGGGAACTGTGTATGTTTGTTATAATTAATTAAAACCAATAATCGAGGGTGCAGTTAAAAAAGTTTTTGGTGACGAACGTGATGATCAGGACATTCGTGACATTCGACCAGGATGTTTGCATTTTGAGTTACATTGTTTCACAGACGAAAGGTTTCTGGAAGTCTTGGCGGATTACGAATCAGGAAGAATGAAGGAACGCTTGCAGGAAGAATTTTCGCTGGTTGGAATTAAAGTTGAAGGACTGAAGGTGAAGATTGAGAACATGGAAGAGGTGAATAAGAAAAGGGACGCCATAAAAACGAGGTATATAATCGACCAAAAAGCGAGTCAGAGTACGATTACGTGCGACATGCCAGTCGCGGGGTAAGCAGACCAATCATGTAGCTCATTCGTTGGTCTCATTTCGTGTCCCGCTTCGCCGAGCCAACTTGTCAAAAAACGATTACAGACGAGACAACTCGCTCGCATCCCAAGTAATCCAAATATTAATAATTATCTAGGTTGAACATTTAAGAAGCGGGTCACTCAGCAAAGCGGTCCAACTCGTTTAGCTGGGTCAACTCGCCCATGTAATTGACCAATTGCCATTCTAAGTCAGGAAACTTAAATGGCAGGTTTTAACAAAGAAGAGATGCAACAATTAAATCAAATAGGCAAAGCTTAGTTAAGGAAAAGAAGGAATTGGAGACAACTTTTTAGGTCATCGAGTCATCCTGCCATAAATGCGTTTTTTAAATTAAAAAACGAGTCTTTTTGCTTGTTTCAGTTTCGGTATTTTTGCCTATCATAACGTGTTGAATGACTTCATTATCTCAAGTTGTATTGAATCCTGCGCATGATCAACAACAAAAAATTGCTGCTGCAACTCTGTTTTTCGGTACGGTGCCAGGTTTCAAAATTACGGTCCTGCCCCCTTATAATTATTATGTCTGTTTAAACGGCAAAATTTAAAAATTGCCGTGCTATTTAATTTTTAGGCTCTAAAGTATCTTTTCAAAGCTTACATACACCGGGTATAAATAACTTTGAGAACACGAATATCATGTTCTTAATTAAGTGCTTCCGGAAGTCAAGTCCGTATGTAAGCAAACGGTTTGTGTTTCAACATCATACTCTTTATGTCTAAAACTATTTAGGTTCGTTACGTTACGAAACATTGGAAATTTTTTTAATTTTTAAAATGCGCT